TCTGTCTGTCTGTCTGTCTGTCTGTCTGTCTGTCTGTCTGTCTGTCTGTCTGTCTGTCTGTCTGTCTGTCTGTCTGTCTATCTGTCTGCCTGTCTCTCTCTCTCCTTCCCTGAAAGGCAGTTTTTATTCATATCATATTCGTTTTACTTTGTTAGACGTGCTTACACTTACATGCAAAGTAATCGAAGTTCAAAGATTAGACTTTTATACGTGGTAACACCCCGAGCAGTGAACTCACTTTGAAAACTAGCAACGTTGGTAGTTTAATGACGTTAAAGCTTAGTATAGGTTTAAGATAAGATAAGATCAGATAAGATAAGATAAGATAAGATAAGATAAGATAAGATAAGATAAGATAAGATAAGATGAGACGAGACGAGACAAGACAAGACAAGACAAGACAAGACAAGACAAGACAAGACAATACAAGATAAGATAAGATAAGATAAGATAAGATAATATAATACTTTATTATCATATCTTATCTTAAACCAATACTTACTTTCAGTAAAGACACAATGATGACCATTTGAGGTGGGAAAATGCAAGGAAGACAGACAAGAGACAGGGAACAATAGTGGAAAAGAAAAAGAAAGTGAGTTCTGCCAATGGCACCACCTTATCATCCTGTTCACAGCAAAGGTTAGATCAACTTCCTGTGGGTCCACATAACACTGGACGTGATTATACGATCGTTCATGGAAATTGAACGAAGAAAGGGCTTCCGTGACCTAGAGGTTAAGGTGTTGGCCTCTAGTTTAAAGGTCCCGGATTCCAATCCGGGTAGCGACCAAAGAATTTTCTTCTCTAAAATTCTCTCCTTTCACCCCCTTTCCTGCTCTCTAGCAATGTTCTGTCGTCTGCTTTCGTCTCCTCTTTCTGCCCCACCCCTCACCTCATTTGCCCCCTCATCTGGGCTCCTGACTCTTTCTGCAGTCTTTCTAATGCTACTCCTTGTCTCCTCTTTACTGCTGTCTTTCGGCCACACCCCTGATCTTCTGGAAGGAAAGATCTACAACAAGCCTTCTAGGATAAGGGTGAAAAATCTCGGAGGGCTTGTGTGAAAGTTGCGCACGTTAAATATCCCTTGGTGGTCTAAAATCGATAAGAGTAGGCTTCGTTCGACCGTCACCCGGCCAAAATTCAAAATTCCCAACCAACTGAAAGAAAGTTTAAGTGTACCGCGCGCTCATATAACCCTATGAAGTTGCGAACTCCGTAAAACACTTAGATCTAACCCCCCCCCAACCCCCCCCCAAAACAACACAAAACAAAACAAAAACAAAACAACAACAACAACAAACAAACAAAACAAACAACAAAAAACAAAAAAACAAAACAAAAACCGACAAAAACAAAACAAAAACAAAACAAAAACAAAAACAAAAACAAAAAAACATAGAAGAAGCCCTCACGTCCGCCGGTTACTTCCATGACCATGCCGCTAGATGACATCATATAACAGCAAGCATCAAAGTTGAACTTTAAGGACATGAATGTAGATCGTAACTTCTCTGAAAACTGTCTGGTTTGGACATCGAAAGATTGAAGTCAGAACAAAATTTATGAATAGTAACAATAACACAGCTTATCAAACACACACACACACACACACACACACACACACACACACATACACACACTCACAAACACACACAAACATTCATACACACACACATACAAACAAACACCCGTATTCCCTCTCATATAAACGTAAGCAAAGTTAGGATATTTGGCAAGGCGAAAGAGAAGAAAAAATAGATCTACGTCCTCAAAAGTAGGCATGCAGGGTAAAATTGGAAACATTCTAAATGTCACAAAGCACATTTTCCACACAAAAAGCAGCCGGAATGAGGTGGCGAAGAAAGCACACACATTGTAAATGCCACACTTCTTAGTGTTGCAATAAATTATAAGTGGCTTTTCTTGGTCAATACGAAGCGGCCATGTTCACTTTTAAGCCCTCTGGGCCCCTCCCGTTTTTCACCTCCATTCGATATTTCCTCTCAGATGGGTGTCGTAGAAAGGCAAGAGTGAGACCTGAAGACACAAAGTGCGCCAAACCACGAGACACGAGGCGTGGGGAGAGACGTGCGCTCAGCTCACTTGTTCTCATGTTTTGATCTCGGAGATGAAAGCTGAAGATGTTGATCAAACTCTTCCGAGCATGTCTCGAGGGGGCAAAGTAGGAAATGGAAGATATTGTGACAGGAAAGCTTTACCCAAACCTCCAGAGGGGCCTTCCTTCTCTCCCCACTCTCGCGAGCTGCGGTCATTCATGTTGTTATGACGATCGCGTTAAAAAAAAAAAAAGAAAAGAAAATGAAAAGGTCCAGATGTGCCGCGAGGCTTGCATTTCTACAGACAGAGCGGCTTAAAAATTCTCAAGTATGAGTTAAAAACAGCCAAACTCGATATGTGCCACCAGAAGGTTGATAGTGGATTAAAACTTTTTATAAGAATCTTTAAAAAGCCGAAAGAAATAGCTTTAAAAAAATAAGCCAAAGCAAGAACTGAATGCTTTTCAGTTGGGAAGTGAAATAAAAAAAAAGTATTATGCTTATAGCAAGAAACGAATTCAACACACGCGGGCAGAAAGAAGTGATTGCTCTGAGTGTAAAACTGGGGTGTGTTTTAAGATACAGATGAAGGTGGGATTAAAACGATGATGTGATGTTGTTAACAGAGGAAAACAGATGCGCCTCAAGGGAAGACAAGAGAAGAGGGTGGGTAGGGGACGGT